TTAATATTTTTATTCCTTATATTGTTAAAGAATTTTTATGGGATTTTTTGATGTAACTTTGTTAGGATAACTTACAAGTACAATAAAAAAAAAAGCCAAGTTTTCAACTGGCCTACCATGAAATATATTCACATAGGTAAGGCATGCAGTGAAATTATGATTTCAGCATATCTCAGAATTTAATAGAAATTGTATTTTCAGGATATTCATAGTTTGGCATGAAACTGTACAAAACTGTATTCAGCAGTACAGTCAGCTAAAAAGATATCAGTAGTTCTTTTACCAAAATTGACTTATATGCTAAGCTTCAGGCTAGAAGAAGTAGCAGGCGTTGAGTGTGAAACTGCAAGCTCCATTGGTTACCACAGAAATGGCTGATGGCCTTGGAACAGTCTGTAAAATTATTGGTGGGATCATCATGTGAAAATGATTGATACTTACCACAGTTGTTTTCCAATCACATGCTGCCTGTTTTCAATGATTTTCAAGTACCCCTCTAGCTTTACATTGCTTCAGTGACCTCTTAGCACTTCTACGAAACTGGTAATTACAGTACATTCATAAGGATGATAACATTAACATAAGCACTAAAAAACACTGCAAATATATCTCTCGGCAATGATTGTTGGTTGTGTGTCTTAGAAATGCTTTGTGTTATCCAAACATTTCATTTTTCTGAAGCTGACCTGAATTTTAGAAAAGGCTTGCTGGAGATAGGGAGTGGAATTGAAGAGAATTTGATAGCTCTACAGTATGTATAAAATCAGAGTTGGTTTCAATTTTGAGCAGAATCGCGATGGTTAGAATATTTTGGGAGGGGGAACATCAGTAAGAACATTCCAGTCAGTGAAGTGAAATATGATGCTAATCAGGGAATAGGATAAAGAGAAGCCAAATCTTATATGTAGATTTAGAATTGTGTGTATGTCTCTGCTGCCATCTGACAGTCATCCTGTTTTTTACAGCCCATATACAAATAAGGCAAGCAGAAAACAAACAAACAAAAAAAGTAGAAATACTGTAGCAATTTTCTAGAAAGCAAAGTTTCTACTAGGAAGAGCCAACTGAATAGTTTATATATTGTTACTTCAAATAATTGTTTAATTTATAGTTTTGCATCAGTTTATATAATTCAAACAATAAATCCTGATCTGGACTGGTTTTTAGCTTTGTTCTGGGACACTGTAGGACATGAAATTGGAGTTCCCATAGCCCACAGTAGTGCTTAAAACATTTGTTTAATTGAGATGCAGGAGAAAACATTAAAGGAAATCCTCTCCTTAAACCAGGCAGATACCATTGTTAGACCCTGCAGGCATGTGCTGAGGCCTTGATGACTATCAAAGAATACATATGCTCTGGCTCCAAACCAGCTTAGAGTGCAACTGTTTGGATTATGGAGTTCATTGCAAACTAATGTTAAAATGGTTTTAAATGGTTCCCAGATTGTTCTTATACAAAATTCTGGATCTTCTGGAATTATGCATTATTGCATAATTTGGATACAAAATCTGAATTTCATCATGGATTCAGGCATGAATAGCCTCCTTTTGTATCTTCTGTTTCAGCAGAACAAACTTTTGTGCTTGACAGTGCTTCTATTCTGATCCCCAAATAGAAACATACATCTCTCCCTGCTAAATTATCAATTGTTCAAGAATGAAGGTGAAATCACAGAAATGGAAAAGAAAATGGCTATACAATTTGTTCAGTCCCTTTTTGAATAATTTGCAAATGTTTGGCAGCAAATATCCTAAAAGAGAAATCAGCAGTAGATAGATACGTAGAAACAGCAGTATTCCTCTGCTTTGCCTTTCCTCCCTCTATTTATCTCTTGCTTCCCCCATCCTTCCCATGACTGATATAACCACCTTCCCTCTTCTGCACTGTGACTATAGTGGGGACTTTAAGGACTCCTTCAACTTGCCCAGTACCACCATAACCCCTTTAGAGATTTAAGTGGTGGATTTTCACTGGGGCATTAGAAATTAAGGAATAAGGAGTAAAGACAACTTTTTTAGAAACGCATTTTGGTGGCAGTAGAACCAATTTAATCTTCCCAAAAAGGTATAATGATGCCATCTACCACATGGTTGCAACAATAAGATTATAACATCCCAAATGCTGTGGAGTCTGAATAGTCATTTTTCAATATAGAGAGAGGCAGCCATTCTTCAGGCCTTTTCCATTCCATTCCATCCTTTTTTACCCAACCTGTTTTTTCCAGTTCAAATTATTATGGAGAGAAAGGGAGATGTGAAATGTGAAAAATGGGTCAGAGACTACATGTACCACTGCTCTCTTTTCCCTGCTTAAAAATCTCTTAACAGCATTTTATGCCTCAGTAAAGATCACAGACGTATGAGAAGGATAAGCATTGGATGAAAGGAAGACATTTATGCTACTGATGGAAGTTAAATCCACTAATCAGATAAGGATTTGGTCTATTATGGATTGCTTGCTGAAAACAGAATTTGATAAAATTCAGGGTAAAAGAAAGATAATGAGAAAAGTTAGTAAATAAGGAAGGCATCGACATCATAGTAAAAGTTTTTTATTTTTTCCTAAAAAGCAAAGACAATTGTGAGAGATGGTAGAAATGTTAGCTTAACAACAGTTAGAGATCCACAGATTTCCCATCTTAATCTAGAGCAGTGTATCTCAACCTTGGCAACTTGAAGATGGGTGGACTTTAACTTCCAGAATTCCCTAGCCAGCCATGACTCACAAATTCCCCAACTTGTGAGATTCACAAGTTCCCCATTTTGTATATATACAGAAGTACTTATTTCAAAGATCATTGCATTACATTGTCCCTTCTAAATAGCATCTTTCTTGTGTCTATACCATCTTTCTTGTTGGACTCGGTGCCTCATTTTTAAAACACTGAGATTAGGTGCAGATTTACCTAAAAGTTGCTCATTTATATCATACACAATCCAGGAAATGGCTTTAAGTTTCCACAACTACCACGACCCTCTGCAATTACTACAAACTCTACTGCTTCTGCTGCCACTATTACTCCTGAATTGAATGGACTCTGCTGCAATTGCTCAAGCCAAGCAACTAGCTAGGCTTTGGCTGCACCTGGCTGACTTGGCCTCTGTCCTTCCCCAGCTGGCTCTTGGCTTCTCTCAGCTGGTTCTGCTTTGGTCCCCTCTGACCATTAGCCAGTTGTCACAGCTTCTCCCAACCTCTGCTGGCTGAGCTGCTAGCTAGCATCCCCTTCTCTGGATTTTGCCACTGCTGAACAGCCAGTGTTGCTCCTCTGTAACCCTGTGTCACTGGCCTTCCTGTCTCTGGGTTGCTGGTGCTGTGCAACTCTCTGGAACCTCTTTCTGGAGTTTTTCAGAAGGAAGACAGGCACCTGGAATCTTCAGCCTCTGGTAGCTCTGGATCCTTTGTTCTCTTCTACCAGGATCCAGTACTCACCAGTGTACCTTCTGGCCACCTTCTGCCTCCTAACAGCTGCCATGCCCAGACACCTGTCTTGCCTTAGAAAGCTGACTGGCTCCACCTTGCATCCTGTGACAGGGATGTAGGATGAACCAACCTGAGCCAGCCACGTAAGAGGAAGGCTGCAAGTGTTCTCAGAGCCAGCTTCTCATACTGCCTCTACTGCATATTTGCTTCCTGTGATACTGCTACCTTACTTCCATCTTTTCATTCAAGAGGAGTTGCTCCAAAGAGCTTATAAAATAAAAGGGCAGATATTAAAGTGACTTCCATTCATCCTTTAGACACTTTAGTCCTTTTAATCTCTTTTAAAGGAACCACATCTTCTTAGAGAAACATTTTAGAAAACAGAAAATTGTTATCATTAACGTGCAAAGCAAAATTTGGACCTCATGATCTTATCCATATTGCAGATACGCTCTCTCTCACTGTACTACACTCTTATTAATAAGTCACCAAACTGAAGTTCATTTCTGTCAGAGCCGCATTATAGCTGCAGGTAGGTGGTTTGTCCTTCAGTAAGATGGCAGTGACCTTGTTCTAGATCTGCTTATGCTCAGAAATACCTGGCAAATTAGGACAGAGTACCACAGAACGTAGCCCTTGTTTTGTCAATAACATGGGGAAAAAATGAGGGTGCCAAAATTATTATATTTGTAATGGTTAAACAAAATTTTTTCCTAAAACCTGTCCAAATTTTTAATGTATATTACAAATAAGAGGTTGCAGTTTTGTTTTTTTTCAATTTTATAAAGTGAGTAGGCATAAATGGAGGACACAAATACTTGAGTAATAACATAGCTTTTGTTTGCCTGAGTCCTATGGCATGTGGTGGTGGTTATTTAGTGGTGCTGTTGGTATTCATATAATGAATCAAAAATAACTTTTTTCTGAGAAGTTTGTTATCAAAAAATTTATACATCTGCTCCTGATCAATTTATGGGGAAGGGATAGATACAAGCATTTTTTTCATTCCATTCTATTCAGCTAAGCTATAGAGCTTGATTAATGAGCATGCATGTGCCACCATTTTAACTTCACCCACACGGATAGTACACATGGCTCTTCAACCAAACTTTCTGACTTATCCTACCTTACTTTGCCTTACTCACAAATCCTAATCTCTGGGGATTTAAGACATCCTCTGTTAACTTCAATAGCAGTAGCTGTCATAAGGCCAGTATTTTCCCAAAGGTTACTTTTGACACACAGAATGGGAAGATAATGATTATGTATTATGTATTTGTATGCATGTTTCATATTCATATTCCCAGGGCTATAGTGGGGGGGGGGAAGGGGGGAGAGGCAAGTGACAATACTTCATGATTTACATACTTGTGTTTGACATTGAGATGTTGGGATGTGAGTATAAGAGGCTGGAATCTGTGTTGTAATGATGCATATTTCTTGTCTTTTTTCATTATTATATTATGTAGCAGATGCCAATTCCCAGGGTGGTTTCCAAGAAAAATTGACTACAAACTAAATGCAAACAAAGCATAAACTGAAAAGCCATAACAACAGTGAAATATTTAGGAAGTTCAATATTGAACTATCATTATATTTGGTAAATAGAAAAATCTTAACCCAAGTCTGAACAATAATAAAATGGATAGAAGGTAAACCTCTTTGAATCTTCCATAATTGGGATGTCATCAATGAAAAAGCCATCTCTTCCCACTTCAGATGGTTGGGGTTCTGAAATAACATAGAGAAAGACAGCAACCTTCAGATACTCTGGTTGTTAGCCATTATAGATGAAAACAGTTAGTATAATCATCATATTCAGTCCCAATTAGCAATTTACCAGCCACATCTATCTATATACTACTAAAACCCTTGAGTCTGTAGCCTTCAACTGGACAAAACAGTGCATCATAGGGCAACCATTTTTGAACTAAGGTACCTCAAATGGGCTAACTTACAGAATGTATTCCAAAATCTGGGACCCATGACTCCTGTGGGATTGAAATTTGGGAAATTTGTGGCTGCTTCAGCACTGCTGTGCTGCTGTGCTGCTGCAGTCAGCCCAGATCATGAGATCATCATGGGCATATCCCCAGACTCTTTCCTGCCTCCCTCTGTCCCCTGTGCCCAATCGGCTGGCAGCAGTGCCCAATGGGCAAGCGGCAATTGGCTGCTTTGGAAACGAAGCACAAATTTGAAATCTCTTAACGGCGGTGGGCATTGAAGGAAGGATGAGGGAGTGACTTGGATGCCAGCTGGTGAGGTAGGACTGGCTGGGGGTCACCAATGGTCAGTGGGTGAGCCCTCTTCCTCCCTCGAGGGAGGGGGTCCTTGGGGACATGCCAGAATGGGAGAAAGGGTGCAGTTTTCCTCATGGTCCATGGCTCCCTTTGTTCCACCTCCCCCCAGCAAAGTGGCAGGCAGTTCTGTGGATCAGCTGAGGAAGAGGAGGAAGAGGCTTCATCGGGGCTCTCCTGAGGGTCGTGAGGGGATGACAAATGGCTCAAGCCTATATTATCTGTAGGTAGGTAGGCAGGCAGGCAGGAAGGAAGGAAGGAAGGAAATCTCTGGCGCTCCCTGCCAGCTTCCCACAAGCAAAGTCAATGGGGAAGCCGGCAGCAAGTCATAAGTCGCTCACACTCACACTGCTTTTTTGCCCTTGGTCATTCTGTTTCTCTGTTTAGATAAGGAAATATCTCTGAAACGGTGACCCAGTGGGTCATGGGTTGCCTAGTTCTGTACTAACTTTAAAGGCAGCTCCATGTAAAATGCATTATAATACTCTACCATGGCGTTTAAGACAGTTAATCTTAATTAGATATGTTCTCTATCTTGAGTCATATATATATAAAAAGGTGGGATAATAATAATCAAGTTCAAATCAAGTACATAGATCTAAAATATATACACAGATTTATCAGCACTGCAGAAAGTAATATGTAGAACATTTATATATAATTCAAATTAAAATATAGTACTGTGTTTATTTTGAATGGTAAAATCGGCCTCTTTCCTGTTTCTACACTACGCATGCAGCAGCTTACACTAAAAAAAGCCTTCTTACTAAAATACCATATGTTGAGAATATAAAATGCACTAAAAGAAGAATCACTACATTTAGACTATGAGTGTGTGTTAAACATATGTCATATATGAAGTATGTGTTTGGAAACAGATGGATATTTTCTCTTATGTTACACCTAAAAATGGTTTATTTCAGATGAAATTGGGCATAAAATTATGTCACTGAATAAATTCCCGTAATTATAAATAAGTAATTATTTGTTTATGCAAAATTATCCTTTATGCAAATGATAAAGTAGGAATCAAATAATTCAAGCATGATTGAAAAATCTACTCTTCTGAACTCAGCACCCTATCCAGATTGAGGCCCAGCATGCATTTGGGTGTCTCTGGTCTGTCATCCCAATCAACGTCCTCAAACTGCAGTTTGCATGGCCAGAAATAAGTGGTTATATTGATTTTGATTAGAGATGGGAAAAAATGAATTCCAGGTGTATTTTAAAATTCATTTTGTGTTTTTAATTAATACTTGAAGTTGAATACACTTAGATTTACTCTTCTCCAAATTATTTATGCAGTGCGGTTCATATATATACATATACATATATATCCACAAACACACACACACATGCTATCTATACATATATACACACTTTTCTCTCATTTCATCTTCATCAGCTCCTCTGTAAACCATGGGGAGTGCTGGAATCCCCAAGAGGGGACAGTTCGCATGGGCATGATCCGATCCAAATCCTCAACTACTCCCTTATTCCAAGCAGCAATCAAGGCTTCAGATGGACCGTGCAGCAGACCAGCAGGAACAACCCCCAGCTTCCTCTGGAACCCATCCGGGTCCATTGGTTGCCAGGGGCGGACCAGTCTAATGCATCTAGCCTCCCTGGAGTGGATAGTGGCGCTAGAGAATCCCATGGTAATCAGGGCATGATCTGACCATGACAAGGGGTCACCAAAAGCTCCCCCAATTTCAGATCACAGAAGCACTGCTCTGACAGGAACACCAGATCCAATGTATGACCAGTGTCCCACGTCGGGCTCTGAATGATCTGGGAGAGGCCCGTGGCCATCATGATGGCCATGAACTCCTGAAATGAAATGAGTCATTAGATATTTTCACTGGAGAAAATCAAAGTCAGCTGAAATGCAAAATGTAAAAGCTTTTTCTTGCTCTTCATGTGCTAAATATATTATATGAACTATATTTTCTGTCATGATCTTTTTTAAAATGTTGCCTTATGTTCTTTTGAGGAAGCTTGGCAACAATCATATATGTCATCAATATATTTTGATTTATTGCTTAAACCTCTGTAGCATACTTTTAAAAAAATAAGCAAAGCATAATAAATTGTAGAAAGCATGTTAGTTTGAAATGATCAAATGGCAAGATAACATAATCAGAATTGTGTCTATGTGATTATACTGGCACCTGATAAAAGAAAACATGTTGTCTCTAATTTGTAATCTCACCCTTCTCCGTAAGACTGATAATTAAAAGGAGAAATAATGTGCCAGAGGATTTGCAACAGAGCCTTGCTTTATTGTCCTAGATATAGCAAACAGACCTCTCTAATGAAAAAAATAATCCGGGAATTATCAAAGTCCCTAACTATCTGAGAAGCAAACTGAAACCAGAGTTACTGCACTATGATCCCAGGGCAGTTAAATCAATAGTATAGAACACCGCATCAAGTTTCCTGCAAATATAACCCGTTACCCATTCCTACCCATACAAATTTACTGCTTCTAAAGTGGATTATAATTAAACACAATAAATGACATTTCCATTAAATTCTCTCCTGTCTTCAGCTCTTGCAGCCCGAAACACTCCTACTTTCCCTCCCTTTTTTCTCTTTCCCTCATTTAATCAGGACATTTTTCTAATACAAATCTGCTTTTGATACCACTTACTCTAGTGTTGCTTGATGTGGCAAGGCAGAGTGGTGGCTATCTTTTATATGGTAAGGTAGTAAAGTGTTCTAGCATTGTAGAAGTGTCAGCATTATAGGAGTTAATCTTTTTATCCCTACTGTTTGAATTCACAGTCCAATTTATAGGCATTGTCTTTTCCATTTAATTCTACAGAATTAATTTAGGTCTTAAAAACCTAATTTGCAAAAATTATCATATGAGTAGCGTTCAGATAAAAAAGCTTAAACTTGTTTGAAACTGTCATAGAGCAGGCATCTCAAATGTTTATAGCTATTATCAGAAAGAATTGGTATCTCAGTGGATTTTGAACAACCAGCTAGAATGAGTAGAAATACTTAAGTATTTTGCTAATGAGCATTCATTACATACATAGGCATAAATCAAAATACGTACATGATTCAAATAAACAATCATGCTATTCTTAAATATTGTTTTATTACGTCCTAATAAAGTGACTCAACCTTTTAATTTAGCCTTTAGGTATATTTCCATTTTATGAAATACTATGAATAATTAATTATACAGGCAGTCCCCGGTTTAAGAACATCTGACTTATGGACAACTCATACTTACGAACGGGCTGCCTGTTACTAAAAATGGCAGACAGCATTCTCCTTCCTCGAACCAACAAACACTGAAGCTGTGCAATGTTTTAATGAATTGCTGACGCTGTGCGCTTTTAATATACAGCCTGTTCTCAGCGGTTTTCAGCAGTTCATGAAAACATTGCATGGCTTCAGCAGTTCATCAGCTTGAGGAAGGAGAACACCAGCCACCATTTTTAGTAATAGGCAGCCCATTCATAAGTACAAGTGGAGTCATTGGCTTTCTCTGAGCTTGGTTGCTTTCATGCAAACGTTTCATTGCCTGGCTAGGTAACGTCTTCAGTGCTAGAATAGAATGGGGTTTGCTTTCTGTTTATATACTGTGGCGTGCCCTGCCAGTGTTGGTGGTGGTGGTGGGGGGGGGTTGGTGTTAATCTTTGCTTATCTGGGTGATGATTGCTGGTGAGGAGATGTTCTGGTGGCTGGTGTGGGTCTTCCGGGCTGTGTGGCTGTGTTTTGGAAGTTTTGTTTCCTAACGTTTCACCACCATCTGTGACTGGCATCTTCAGAGGGCAGGAACACAGACAGGAGCAGTTCTCTCTGTGCCCAGGATGACGTCCCTCTGAAGATGCCAGTCACAGATGCTGGCAAAACGTTAGGAAACAAAACTTCCAGAACACGGCCACACAGCCCGGAAGACCCACACCAGCCACCAGAACATCTCCTCACCAGCAATCATCACCCAGATAAGCAAAGATTAACACCAACCCCCCCCCCCCCCAACACCAACCACCAACCGCCGGGGAGCACCCACCAAATAAAACAAAAAAAAACAACACAAATATCCACA